AAAAAAAAAAAAGCCAAGGTGGAACCTGTCTTTCAGGAGGTAAGAGCTCAAATGTGCGAACACTGTGTCCTGTGAGCGATCGCCCAGAGATCGCCGTCTCAAGTGAAGTACTCAAGACCTTGGTCCAAAGAAGGAGAAGAATCAGGGCACTTGTGTTTGGGGTGGCTGACCACGGACACGCAGAGCACAGCAGGTGAGCATCTCCATTGCATGGGGACTTCATAGCACAATCAGGGAGCCTGGAGTTGGTACAGGTTTTGCAGGGGCACCAGAGATAAACTTTACATTCAGGTAGAGATCCACACATGTCTTGGGCCCAAATTTCCCTAGTTAACTCGAGCCTTTAAAGTTGTGTGTGTATCTTTTCACGTAACCGCGGACATGCGATGCCCAACCCTTCCTGCCAACGCGAGCGTTCCCTAAAACGGACTTTTCTCTTGAGACGCATTTTCAAAATTTCCCATTACGCTCCACAGAAATTACCTCCATTAGGGGCGAGGCCTAAGGACACAAACGGCAGCACAAATGACCGCGAGGACGAGGGAGAGGGCGGCCGTCACCTACTTGAGAACTGAATGGAGAAGCCAGACTTGCTGATGAAGAAGTCGCTGTCGAACTGCAGGGTGAGCGAGCTGAAGGTACTGTGGATGTCCTCGGGGAGCATGGAGCCGCTCCACTCCTTCAGCAGGACGTCACTGTCCACGGGGCCGTCCCAGACCTTCAGGATGTCATGGGCCGTCTCGGTGTCGAACACGATGAAGTGCAGGCTGCGGGAGAGAGCACAGCTGGAACACTTACTCGGAAGAGGGCTTCCCGCTCCACGAGAACACCTGAGCACCACCGGGAATGCACGCGAGCTCATCTCGTCTGCCCACACCCCGGAGACACGGTGTCACCTGACAACGAGGCAGAGGGGACCGAGCCTCCCGGACGTGGACCCACTGGTGCACCGAGGATCCCTTCTGCCCCTGACGGACACACACCGCCAAGCTCTATGCAGAGCCGCGTGTTAAGGACGAAACAATGGAACGATTCCTTCTGAGACTGTCAGTTCTTTTCATAATTCAAAGCTTTCTCGGGCTCACAAATCAAAGGCGACTTCGACATCGCTTGGCTTTAAGCTAATCAAAGTCTGATCTTTCCGTGGCTTCCGTGTGGTTCCTGAAACACCCCACTAGGTGGTAGCATCTGTGCCCAGAGAGACACCTGCAAAGGCCCTCTTTGAAGCACGGGGATGCTGTCCTTGGACCCGAACCATCTCATATGTTGGTTTCTATAAGTTTTATTTTCAGAAAAATGCATAATTTGAAATACCAACACAAAGGCAGAAATGTGTGACACCAACTCCCGTCTCGAGAACATGTTCATCTACTTCTATCAGATTTACAGACATCTCCCAGAGCAACGTAAAACATCTCTCCTCTAGAAAGCTCACTCTTCCGGGCAGGACTGTCATCGGGACAAGCAAACAGCCGCGTGGAAGGGCTTAGCTAACGGACCAACACAACTCACTAGTTCCTGACGGGGTTGGTCTCCAGTTTCTCCTTCACCGCGTGTTGCACAAAATTGTCAGGGAGATAAAAATCCTAAGATGTCGACATAAAATAATTTTAACATGGAGAAAAGTACAGGCTGTAGCAGACCCTGTACCGCCTCCACGGCACTATCGTGCTGGGCTCCTCAGCTGCAGATCGTCTGCAAAAATAAAATCTTACAGACACGGCCACACAACCCTCTCTTCCACGCACTCATTGGTCCTTCTGCTCACTGCACACTGCTAAAATGTGGATGGACTGTTCCCTAGTACATTTCCCCTTTCACATTTCCATCATTTCCACGTTCGCGTGCATACGTCTCCCCAGACAATCTCTAGTCCTGTTTTCTACATTGAACACTTATGGCATAAGACAGGTCATTTTGGGGTGTATGTCCTGGTACCATTTTCAAGTTGCTTTTTACATTCAGTGTTACTTACATGAAAGTCCTTCACACCGAAAAATGTAGAGTTTTGTTCCTACACTGTAAAAGCATGGGTAAATGCTTATTTTTCTAGTCCTCTACTAAACGATAGTTTGTTTTTACATTTTATTTTTGAGGTTTTCTGTGTGTGTGTGTATGTGTGTGTGTGTTTACTTATTTTTGTGGAAGTATAGTCAACACACAGCATCATATTAGTTGTGTTCAACACAGCGATTTGACAAGTTTATGCATTATGCCTTGCTCACCACAAGAGTATAGCCACATTCCCACATCTTATTTTTAAGTTCATTTATTTATTTATTTTGTGAGAGAGAGAGAGAGAGAGAGAGAGAGAGAGAGAGAGAGAGAGGGAGGGAGGGAGAGAAAGAGGAGGGGAGGGGCAGAGAAAGACGGAGAGAGAGAATCCCAAGCAGGCTCTGGACCGACAGCACAGAGCCCGATGCAGGGTTTGAACTCAAGAACCATGAGGTCATGACCTGAGCTGAAATTAAGAGTCAGATGCTCAACCAACTGAGCATTCCTATTAATTATGGCAATGGTGCTCCAGCAAGCACCCCTGTGAACTCACCCAGGATCTTTCTAGGCTCAAACAGAATCTCCAAGCTGTTCTGCCCAGTGACCTGAGCACTGAGCCTCACAGTAGTGGTCGCAGGCCTTCGTTCTGTCACGTGTTTACCAACACCCGATGTTATCAGACTCCGGTAGTCGTACAAATAGAACATCTGGTGCTTGAGGGATGCTATCCCGGGCAAATTGCATCCCCCTGATGACTCACGAGGTAGAACGTGTTTTGTGTCTCTAACGCTTCCCTCCCTCCATACAGTTCAGCGGCTCAACAAGTGTCTACTGATCACCAGCTGTGTCCTGGCATTCTTCCTGGAATCTTGGACGCCTCAGATGAGGAAACTTAGAAGAGCCGCTCTCACGGAGCTGGTGAGGTGATGGGAGGGGCCAGGCCGGAGCCCCCACCCTTGACCCTTCATGCGAGTGAAGAAGACTGCCGGCCAGCGGCTGGTAAATGGAACCGGAGGAGGAAGAGAGCCAAGCAGAGTAAAGAGCACTGGAGCAGGAGGGAAGGGCTGAAGTACTAACAGGGTACCTAGGTGAGCCGCGTCACGGGGCCGGGCTTCAGCA